CTGCCCTGCTGTACACAAACCACTGCAGAGCAGGGTTTGCTTCAGTGGTCCTAATCTCCTCAGCAGTTTCTCTACACCTGCCTTGTCTGTACCCTTAAGCTCATAGCTCCTTTCAAGGAATACATATTTTTCTGTTTCCTCTTACTGTAGATAAGAGACTAAGTCTTAACATTGCTTTCTCAAAACAATGTAGTTTGTTAATTTGAATCCAATCTCATTCAGATTTTCAGGACTGGGAGGAATGTAACCAGGTCTTTGCCTGAATGTAACACAAAAGGGCATTAGCCCAGTTCCCTTAGACCAGACATTTATTGATTGCATTGGTATACTGGTCTTCTAGACTCCCATTAGACTGGCTCATTGGACTGTTTATAGCATTCCAGGGTTTCTCAGCATATGGTGCCAACCCCTCTACATTCCTCTCCCAAGCCAGCTCCTAAGACCAGCAGACAGCATAGTCAGGGTTTCTCACAGCAGAAGCCCTTCTCCATAGAAATTTTTTGTGTGTTGGTTACTTTGCTTGTTGCAGTGACAAATCAGTTAACTGAAGCAGTGTAAGGAAGGGAGCTTTGTTCTGGCTTAAGTCTGAAGGAAAACACTCCATCATGACATGGAAGGTTTGCTAGCCAGATGCTGGGTAGCTAATCACATAGTGTCAGCAGCTAGGGAGCTGATACAAGCAGAGGGAGGTGAGTGCTACTTTAGCAAGTGTGAGTGTATGTATGTATGTGTGTGTGATGTGTGTGGTGTATGTGTGTGGTGTATGTATGTGATATGTGGATGTGATGTGATGTGGTGTGTGTGTGTGTGTGTGTGTTTTAGGCCAGGGTTTTCTGGAACACAGGCTGTGTGTGAATTTGCTGTTAGCTAAGAACGACCGTGGACTGGCCATTTCTACTTTGCACGTGATGGCCTCTTCCAGAGACTCTCACTTAGTTGGTATTTGTGTGTCCTAAGTGTGTGAATGTTCAGATTTCTATCACAAGTGCCTTCATAAGCTACTTTCCACTGTATTTTTGAGACACTGAACTTGGAACTTACTGATTTGGCTAGATGGATGGCCAGCAAGCGCCAGAGTCCTCCTGTCTCTGTATCCCCAGTACTAGGATTATAGACACCTTCTACTGTGCCTAGCTTTTTAAACCTGGGTACAGGGACTAAACTCACATTTGTATGGCAGGGATTTCACTGACTGGACCATCTTCCCTGCCTCCACCTTTTCATTTTTAACTTTTCTTTTCCTTATTTTATCTCCTTGGCATTCACTCTGCAAAGGCTGTGCATCATACTGTACATAAACCTCTGATGTGCCATTCTCACTTCTAACCTCTTCAGAAAAGCCCTCCTCAAGCAGAGTGGGAAAAGAAGCCAGCAGCACCCAGGCCTCTGTATAATACCCTGAGAATGAGTTTGTATGTGAATCGCCTTGTCTGAGATCACAGACCTGTGTAAATAGCACATTGGGGTACATAATAAGCTCTTGAGGCTGTACCTTGCTTCTTTCCTGATAGTATAGCATAATTGTTTTTAAAGCATGTGCTAACCTTTCTATATATGACTTCAAAGTTGGTCTCCTTTTATGTCGTTAATTCCTGTCTGACCCATATATGTATCCTAGAAGTATGCAGAAAAGCTGCTAGGGAGATAAGGGGCAAAGATAGGAACAAATTCCGTTTCTATGCTTTGTCTAAATACACACTACAGAGAAGAAAGACTAAGACCTCTTTTCTTAGTTTAGAATTCGGGGCTCTTGGGAGTTCATTTATGAGTTCTTAGAAATGGTCAGCAACCTGGAAACTGCATATGAAATTTTCTCTGCTCTGTTTCTGAGTAGTGCAAAGATTTTTAATTTTTAAAAGATTCTTATAGTGTTTTAGAATTACTACTAAGAAGAGATAAATGTAGGCTTGCTGGCAGGATAAGGCAGGGGGATGTGTTTGCAGTTCATCTTTTCTCATTGGCTGTGTTTTGGGTATGTTACAATTTTGGAGTAAATCTTTCCATCTGGTTCAAATACTTTTGCTTTAGACTATTTATTTATACCTGTTGGTCTAAGACTACATAAGATCCCCTTCCCCAAGTGCCACTCTTTGAAAGGCCAAAAAATGTTACTAATGAGAAAATAACAGATGATTAGCAGTCCCTGACACTATTCCACACATCTAAAGTAAGTTGTGTGTGTGTATGTAAGCCATAGTGGTACAAACCTGTAATCCTATTACTTGGGAGACAGAGGCAGGAAGGAGCTCAAGATTGAGGTCAGTTTAGCTATGTAATGAGACTGTTTGACTAACATACGGAAGTCCTGAGTTTGGTTCCCAGCACCACATAAAACTGGGAGTGGTGGCACCTGCTGGTAATCCCAGCACTCAGGGAGTAGAGGCAAGGGGATCAGAAGTTCAAGGTGGGAGCTGATGAGAAGGCTCAGGGATTAATTCACTAGCTGCTCTCCCACAGGAGCTAGGTTCAGTTTCCATCACCCACATGGTGGCCTACAGCCATCTGTAAGTCCAGTCCCAGAGGATCCCATGCCTATTTCTGGCTTCCTCAGGCATCAGCTGTGCTCACTGTACAGAGATCTACAGACAGACAAAAACACCCATGCACATAAAATTAAAAATAATTTTAAAAAGAAGTTCAACGTTACATAGTTTGACTCCAGCCTGGACTATATGAGACCCTATCTTAAAAAAGAAAAAAGTTAATATAAAGTATTTGTGACTTAATTTTTGTAAAATACAGAATTGTAAGGTCAGGCATGGTGATGCACACTTTTAATCCTAGGACTGTGGGGGCAGAGGCAGGCGGGTCTCTGTTCTGGTGGTTGCAGGCCAACCTGGTCTATAGAGAGTTCTGGTTCAGTCAGGGCTACATACTGAGAACCTAATTTGTTTGTTTAAAGAGAACATTTCTCATTTATTTTCATTATCTGCATAGACTCTCTTTTTTTGTTAGCCATCTTAACGATAGACTACTGTATTAAAAATTACATTCTAGAAAACGTTCTTGGTCATGGCTAGACTGAGCCCTCCCAAGACCCTAGCACCAAACTTGATATGTAGGTAAAAATGACTTTAATTTTGGAAACATCCTGCTGGCCCTCCTGCTGGGAGTACATGTGGGCAGAGCCATGCCAGGCTTTCTTCTGTACTTGAGAGCTGTTGAATTTTATTAGAGCCTGGGCTGGGTTGGATTTTAATAGAAAAATATCTCAGTGACACACACAAAGCTTCTTACCTTAAAAATAAAGAGTTCCTTTTATTTAAATTTTATTTCTACATTAGATGATGTTTGTGGATAGAACTGAATAATGGAAAATGCTTTGAATGTCCATTGGGATCCTGTAGGTTTTGCAAAGTAGCTTACTTAGGGTTTGGTTGTTTGATGAAAGTTAAATGCTTCAGCTGGCTTGTGGTGAGTAGTCCATCTTTGGTTTTGTTCTTGTGTGGAGACTGTTTATGCTGGCAAGTCCTCAGATAGCAGATAAGAGCAAGTCTGCTCTGGCCTCTTACGGCTAGCTTACTATAACTTGTACAGTGTCTAACGGATGGGAAGCACGGAAGTGTTTAACAAGGATGTGATGAAGTACTTTGCATAAATGCAAATCATTTTGATTATTTTATAAACTAAAGAATTGGCCAAGCTTTACAGTTTTGTAGTTTGCTGCCTTGGTTCCCACTTTTTGCATTAGTAGACTATTAAGGCATAGATTGTTGCTACAGTTTAGGATTGACAGTACCAAAATCAGGTTAGAAATTAACCCTATTTATTGGTTCCTTTATGAACCTTGTTGGTCACATGTTGTCTTCCCTAATAGTATGATTTGTTTTATGTAGAACAGCTCAGCAAGGTCTAAGTGATTCCTATTACCTGTTAAAGTTACATAGCAGTTAAGCATCAAGTATACTGAAGAGTTTCTTCTAAGGTTAATTCATAGCAAGATTTCACTCACTTCAGGCAAGCAGATCCAATATATTAAGAAAAAGCCAGGGCCGGGCAGTGGTGGTGCACGCCTGTAATCCCGGCACTTGGGAGGCAGAGGCAGGCGGATTTCTGAGTTTGAGGCCAGCTTGGTCTACAGAGTGAGTTCCAGGACAGGCTGGGCTACACAGAGAAATCCTGTCTCAAAAAAAAAAAAAGAAAAGAAAAGAAAAAAGAAAAAGCCAGAATCAGTGGCCATAGCATTCATCTGAGGACTTGGGAGGCAGAGATAGGCAGAACTCTGTGAGACAAGGTGGCCTCATCTGTATAACAAGTTCCAGGGCAACCAGGCTACATAATGAGACCCTTGTCTCAATAAAAAGAAGGGGGAAAATTAAGCTTTGCTTATTTTTAATTAATTAAAAATCAACTCCAAAGTTTTGCAGTAGGTACTAAGTAGATGCTAAATAGTTAAAATGTCTCCGGTGCCCATCACACAACAGACATTCAGTAAATACTGTTTTCCTTCCTTTTGTCAGCTAGACGGTACAGATCCTTCGTTGTTTTTTGTATGACTCAGTTGTTGGATGGCTGGCTAAATAGCAGTATATGCATGTTGCAAGCAAATTGTATGCCCTTCATTTTTTTTTTTTTCCTGGATGGTTTTAGTTTTCTTAGAACCACATCAACCTGGTGGTTACTGATTCTCAGAATTTTGACTTCTCCGCAACTGACACATGAAAAATCACTGGGTTGTAGGACAGATCTAGTGAGCTGTGCAACAAGTGTCAAAATGCTATATGCCAAGACTATTGTATGCTCTAAAGATATTTTGGTGAACTTGACAGATGTGTCTCTTGGCATGATAGAATTTACATTCTAACTGAAATTGGGGACTCGTACAAGCCTGTAACATAATAATAATCCATCTCAAACCATTTTGAGGAGTATAATGAATCAAAGTGTATGGAGTGTAATGATTTTAAATTTTGTGTGTTATGAGAAATTTTGTGGCCTAAGAAGAAAATGGTGGTATAATTTTTTCTCTCATCTTTTTTTTTTCTCTTTATAGACAAGATGCTCCAAGTCCCTTGTAGCCCACTTCAGAAGAAGATCAGGAGTGCTCTGCTCTCGCCGTAACAACAGCCCTGTTTAACTTAACGTGTTGTAGGTGCTGTGACACAGGAAGAACTGCATGCAGGCCCAGGAGTTTCTTGTTTTCACTTCTTGAGTAGTTAGTTCTCTGTGGATGGAGAAAGATTTGAGTCTTAATTGCCCTGTTTTACAAGGTGTTCTGTGTAGTCTGAACTGGGTCACTTCCCAATGAGCTATACAGCCAGTCCTTGTCAGGAGCTGGTTGAACCCTGTGCAGTGCATGCAGAAGGAATGGCCCAGGAAGAGAGCCATCGAAGTCAGGCGCCACCCACCTTCTACCATGGTGCCAGCCAGGAGCTCGACCTGTCCACCAAAGTGTATAAAAGGGAGTCTGGAAGCCCTTATTCTGTGCTGGCAGACACCAAGATGAGCAAACCGCATCTCCACGAGACCGAGGAGCAGCCATATTTCAGGGAGCCAAGGGCAGTGTCTGATGTGCACACTGTCAAGGAAGACCGGGAGAATTCTGATGACACGGAAGAGGAGGAGGAAGTCTCTTACAAAAGGGAGCAGATCATAGTGGAGGTAAACCTTAATAATCAAACCTTAAATGTATCTAAAGGGGAAAAGGGTGTCTCTTCTCAGTCCAAAGAGACTCCTGTTCTTAAGACAAGCAGCGAGGAAGACGAAGAGACTGAGGAGGAGGCCACAGATAACAGCAGTGACTACGGAGAGAACGGACGGCAAAAGAAAAAGGAGAAGCAAATGGAGAAAGTCAGGGTTACACAAAGGCGAACCCGGCGAGCTGCCTCTGTTGCCGCAGCTACCACTTCCCCTGCACCCCGCACAACTCGAGGCCGTAGGAAGAGTGCAGAGCTACCCAAGAGGAAGAAGCGGGCTGCTAAGGAGCCTAAAGCGCCAGTCCAGAAAGCTAAGTGTGAAGAGAAAGAGACTCTGACCTGTGAGAAGTGCCCCAGGGTGTTTAATACTCGCTGGTACCTGGAGAAGCACATGAACGTTACTCACAGGCGCATGCAGATCTGTGATAAATGTGGCAAGAAGTTTGTCCTGGAAAGTGAGCTGTCCCTTCACCAACAAACAGACTGTGAAAAAAACATTCAGGTAGGTCTCCTCAGCAAGAGGGCAAAGTTTCCAGGATAGAACCTGGCTGTTCAGAGGCATCTGGTGTCTGCCCAAGAGAATAAATAAAATAGAGGCTGAAGGGACAGATGTCACCAGTTTATCACTTTAGACTCTGCTGCTTGGGTCTTTCCAAAACCAAGGCTTATTCTTGTATTTCAAAAGCATTACACTTAACTGACGATGGATTAGTGGGAACCCAGGTACACTGGAAGGGGGATTGGTTATAGATGACTGACTGGGATGTAAAGTCAGCGCCGACTTTGCACTAAGAGTCTCTGTTGTGGGACCTGTGAAATAATTCCTTCTGGCATCTTCTGTCACGGTAGGAGGTATGCTGAGTGAAGGTCAGGAGTAGAGAACGTTCTTTTCTATTTAGAAGGATGCCAGAGTCTAGTGCAGCTGATGGGGACAGAGACTGTAATGACTCAGACCTGTGGAAATGGAAGATCTCCTTACACCGTGCAGAGATGGCAACACTAAATGTGTCAAGAGGCGAGCCCTTGGGAATATGCAAACCTCAAACAGAGGCTGAGCTGTTTGAAAATGTTGCTTACCTGCCACTAGGGTTACATAATATTGCTGTACAGTGCTGCTGATGTCACAGAGCGTGCTATTCAAACCAGGCTGGTGTCTTCAAAAGACTGTATTGTGACAGGTTAAGAGGTGTTAAATGTATTGTAGCTATATTAGTGTATGTATATGTTTGTGTATTAATGGTATACATGGTAAGTCTGTTATGTTTCCATAAAATGTATATAATAATTATCATATTGAAGCTAACATTTTAAAAGATAAATTGTTTCACTTTTGTTTTGGGAACTGCTAATATTGGTGAGCACCTTTAATTTTCTCTTCTTGACAATTGTTTTAATCAGTAACCGAGTGCCTTCCTTTAAAGAGATTTTTGGTTTTTTATAATCCACTGATTTAGCTTGTATATCACGACATCATAGAGATATGCTGGATAAATAAAAGAAAACGCTGCCATGTTCTCCAGCAGGTGCCTGGGTAGAAGTTGATTGCAGGGTCAGTCCAATGGGGCACGGTCCAGTGCTGCCACCTAGAGGTCACACTTGGATTTTATAGTGGCTCTTTGCTGAAAAGGCATTCCTCATTTCTGTCTCTATGGCCTGCTTATTTTGTGGGCTTCTTCCCTCCCTCCCTCCCTCCCTCCCTCC